AGGGCATCCCAGTGCTCCCCAGTCCACCCCAGTGTGCACCGGGGAGGTCCCTTCCTCTGGGTCCCCACTCTATTCCCACACACCCCAGTCCACCCCACCACACACACACAGGGCATCATTCCCACACCATTTCTTCCTCTCTTTCTCCTCTAATCCTTTCCCTTTCCCACTGCCCATGACACCGGTGTCTAGAAATCCCCTTCCTTGAACGTCCAGTCCCAAAGCCCCTCCTAATCCCTTCCAGTTTTCTCCCCTTCCCCATTTCTCCTGCCCCCACCCCTGCCCTGCTTCAATCCCCGTGTCCCCTCCACTGGAATCCTTTCTTCCTCACCCACATCCCCCACAGTCCCATCCCTTCCACACCCCAATACCCATCCTCTGGGCTCCCCAATTCACCCCACTTCACCCTCTTTGGGTCCCCTCCTCCTCCTCCCTGCCCTGCAGACCCTGAATTCCCCTGGCTCTCCTTGTCTCCATCCCCACCCTGGGCCCTGCAGGAACAGGGATCCCAGGGCAATCTGGATGGAGTGGGGTTGGGGGGAGCAGAAGGCATTTTCCCCTTCAGACTGGGCCAACCATGGGCTGGGGGGACTGGGGACACCCGTGTCCCTCCCCCAGCCCCACAGGGGCCAATCCTGCTTAAACCTTTGCTCTCCTTCCCCAGCCGATCGCGGGACAAGGAGGAGGTGGATGTGTTGGGGTAAGTCCTTGAGTTGAGATGCCCCCAATATGGGAAATGGGGGAAATGTAGTCCCCCCATCCCTCCTGGCCCTGGGAACACCCCAGTGACCAGTGACACCTCACACTCTCTCTCCAGGGAGGCATGAATGTCCATCGAGTGAAGAGGTCTGAGGTGGGTACCCCGAGTTCTGCTGGGCCCAGACCCTCCCCTCTCATGGCCATGACCCTCCCTGGCATCCCAGTGTGTCCCAGTCCATCCCAGTGTGTCCCAGTCCAACCCAGTGTGTCCCAGTCCAGCCCAGTGTGTCCAAGTACATCACAGTGTGTCCCAGTACAGCCCAGTGTGTCTCTAACCCTGCCTTTGTCCCCAGCCCCCCGTGGCTGACTTGGTGGAGTTGCTGCGCGAATGACGCTCGGCTGCCTCTCTGCATGTCCAGGTGAGA